CTATGGAGCCTGGGGTCAGCTGGGGGAGTCCCTAGCTGATCCCAGGCTCTGTGCAGCATTTCCCCAGATCCCGGGGAAGTCCCCAGCTGACCCCGGGTTCCAGGGAAGTGCTGTAGGGAGCCTGGGATCAGCTGGGCACTCCCCAGCTGACCTGGGCTTCTAGCGGCATGCAGCGTGGAATGGAGCCTGGGCTCCATGGCTTTGAAATGCAGAAAAGCCAACGGTGGGGACTGTTGTACATTTCAAAACAGGCATGCCGCCAGCAGCCCAGAGTCACCGGGACCTCCCGCTGGCTCCAGGCTCTATGCAGAGTTCCGCATTCCTCCTTTGAAATATACAGGAGCCCCAGCTGGGGCTTTTTTACATTTCAAAGGAGGAATGCGGAAGTGCCTATCAAGTAATCGACTAGTCGATGGAATTTCCATCAACTAGTCAGTTAACCGCATTTTAACATCATTAGGACACAGATCCTTCTGCACTTCACAGGGATATGTTTCACCCTCTAATATTTCTTTTGGACTATTTCTATATTTTTATAGTTAACCCATAAATAAAGAACATGTGCTTATATTTAAAATTAAACATTACTCATGCCTTTGGACACAACTACTTACTACTTCTACAATATCAGTTTAAATGCATTAAAGTTCCATAAAACTGTGAGTAGGTTTTCCATTTCTTGATTTGAGAGGAGGTTTGTAGGGTTTTTTTTTCTTTTTGTGGACTTTTGTGGACTTGGCTTGCTTTCAAATCTGTGCCACCTTCAGTCTTCCCAACTCTCTCTTTCCCCATCTGCTCTTTTTGGATCCTCTTCCTGCTCTCTTATTCACACTATACTTATGCCCTTCTGTACTTTTTTCCTGGGACAGTCTTTCTCTTGTGCTCCAAATTACTGCCTTGTCCATAATGCTTTTTCCACACCATTTTTTTTTAACAATAATCCACCAGTGAAATAAGTATGTTCTTTCCCCTGCTTCTGAAAGTTAAATCTGCACTATTTTGAGATAGGATCTTCAGCTAGTCACCTCTTGAACATAATCTTCCTTTTTTCTATACATGTACTGGGCCAAGAACCCTTAATAGTGAAATATAAATAGCTACATAATGGCCCATAATTTTCTATAAAGGATCAATTTTTCTGAAAACCTGACCTGTTTTTCTGCCATGGAGCAGCCTTTTGTCAATTTTTAAGAAGTATCTCTTGCTTTACAGACTTTATACAAGCTTGGAACATAAACTATATTTTTGCTACAGCATCCAGGTCGCTGTGGGTGAGAAGCGTGTGGTTCCAATTCAGATTTGGTCTCTGGTCAATCCTATAATACAAATAACATTTCTCCCCCTATGACTAAGGTCTGAAAGCATGAAGGTGTGTTCCATGAGGGCATCTGCTGTGTAGGATGGAAAAGACCAACTTTTCCTATTTGTTTTGTTTCCAATTTTCATACGTTGCTCCTTTCCTTGGAATAAATTGCCCTTTAGTGGGCAGTGGAGAGTATGTGTCTGTGTACTGAAGTGTAGAAACAGGTGTATGCTCAGTAAGGATCGGAAACTCCAGAGAGGTGCATGCTGCTCTGCTAGGCTCTGAGCCCTGGTTTTGATTAATGAGCTACCTTTTTCTTCTAGTGATGATTGTATATAAATGAAATGTCATTTTTTTAAATTCACTTGCTGCATGTGACTAGGATGTAAAATAGTAAGAAACTGATTTACTCCCAATTTAAGAATCGATGCGAGTGACTTGGCTGTTTAACTTTCATTTAATTGTATGAGATTTTGATTGTGGTTGCATGATGCAACAGATGTCAGTTCCATAAAGTAATTTAGAAATACTTGTGTACTAATTTACATTCTACCTTACAACTTAAGTGAATGACTAAACTAGTCAGATCCAAAAGAGCTTTATTCCCTCCCACTGTCTTGCATCATCTAATTGAAATAATCAAACTCTATTATAATTGAAAAGCTTGAAAAACTTCCCCAGAGCCTACTAACCTGGGTCAAAACATTTGTAAAGCTTTATTCCCCAGATTAGGCACATTTAATTTACATTGCAATATCTTTATATAGGAATGGAGCATAAATCAGCGCTGTTCCCAATAAATTCATTTTTGTCTCCCACTCCTTTACTGCTCCTGCTGACTTCTTGGGTGTACAGTAGGTCTTCTGTGCACCAACCCTTCCTCCTAAGGGAAGTGTAGCTCCAGATACTCTTCTCCTCTCATCGTCCCTTTCAATGAAAGAGCCATCAGGCTTTGGCCCTTATTCAGCCTTTTTGCTCGGATAAGTGCGTATTTCAAGCCCTGAATGTCTCCAGCACCATCACCATGCCTGCATAGGCATTAATAAGAGCTTGTCTATATGACACACTCATGAAAATTAATCTGAATAAATTGAATTTATTAAAGTCAGTTAGTTTAATTACATTAAACCCCTGTGTGAACATACTCATTTAGGGTTGAAGTGGCCTTTATTCAGTGTAGTTTATTCAGAAGCTTTAATTAATCATATTTAAAAGCTAATTTGGATTGACTTTCTTGAGTGTGTCCATGTAGATGAGCTGTAAAACAAGTCTCTTTCCTGAGGAATATACAGTCTAAGTTCCTGTGATGTTTGTAAGACTATACCCTTTTGACTTCACAGAGATGCTGATTTTTTTAGTGATTTCTCATGGGAGGCTTTTAAAGATATATATATATATTAAAATAAATAAAATTTCAGCATATTTAAACCAAGAAAAGCCCCGGTGGCTTAGAACTGTAGATCACCATGGTTTGACTGGATTAATGCTCCGGGGAAAAGAAGGTTTCAAATCTGGTGGAATACCACTCTCTAGATTCAGATTTGACCTGGATCCCCACACAAACGGAGAGCTGAAATATAATCATACCATCCTGAGAAAAAATATTAGCAGCCATATGGTTGGTCAGCTGTACATTATTTATAATCAGGCCTCATCTTTTTAACAAATCATTTCAGTAGCTTTAAAATCTGGTATAATAATCTATGTGTAGGTTAAACTGTAGCATAGTCCAACATTAAATAATATGCTATCACAATAGCAAGGTAATCCAGTTTACAAAAAACAACAACACTCTGTCAGTACTTAAAGAAAAAAGCCAATGTCTGCATCCAATACTCTTGTTGCTTGAAATTCAGCTTCTGGCCCTAGTGACATTTGGGTTGTAATGAAAGCTAGTGTTACTTTTGATGACTTGCAGACAGAAGTTTTACCAGCAAATTCCAGGGTACAAAGCTGTGAACTTGAAAAGCATCAGCTTGCCTATTATACCTGGTGTCCTATCTGGAGAGGTGAGAATACTTTGTAAACTCCCTGCTCAAGATTTTTGAGGGTGGTTAGTATTCTTTGGGCCTAGCAAGTAGGGTTGCTGCTCCCAAAATACAGAAAATTGTCCTCTGGATGCTGGACTGAACATTGCAGTAATCTGTAATATTAGCTGCCTCAGAGTGCACATGCAGTCAGTGTAGGAAAAGGGGTTTCTCATGTTTCATTCAGGGAGAGATGGTAAAAAGGAAAATTCATGCCTTTTTGACCTGTCCCTGGGTATGGTAAATAATTGTCTGAAATTGTTTTGAAACACTTATAAGATACAAGTTCTCTAAATCTTTTTTCACTGGAGGTAGAAATACATCTGGTAGATTTAACACTAAATCTGTCTTTTGATTTAATTAATTTCCCCTCATTTATTAAACTCATTTACATTAATTGCTTTTTATTTTTTTCAAATAATGTCAGTTGAGTGGGATCTTGGCTTACTATGTGTGTTCACTGTTTTAGGAGTCTATGTATTTCTTTTCCATCCTCCGTAAACCATCTGTGGGATTTACTTACTGTTAAGGAAAGTGTTTTTGAGAGCATCGTCTTATATTTTGGGGTGTGTGGGAAGTGGTCGCTCTGCAGTATTGCTCTCTTCCAATCAGCCCCCTTTCTTTTCATGTTATGGAAAAAGTCAAATTTGAGACATGTCCCATTTTCCTGACGCAACCAAGCCCAGATCTTGCTTTAAGTTAGGATAAAAGGAAGCTGCCTACCAAATTTGATGTCCCTAGCTCTTACAGTTTAGGAGGAGTTCTTGAAAAAACGGACTCAGACAGACACACATTTCTTAAATATATAGATAGATCTAGGGGTAAACATGGCCCTTGTTTAAGACAGGTCTGCTTGACTAGTTCTATCTAATCAGGGCAACTTTAATTGGAACATGTGCCTTTGACATCATATAGGAGGAATTTCATAACTTCACACACAATGTTGTTACAACTCTGGTATTATTGACCAGTGCATTACTAGTTTTCAAACGATACCTCACAAGGCATATTATGTACAAAGATTATTGTAGTGTGCAGGAAATGAATATAGAGATGCATTTGGCTAGTGCAAGTAGGGCACACTGCCTTTAACTTGTGCTAAAGTGGTTGAGGGGAGCCTAGACTTGATCTACACTAGACTTTTAAGTCATGCGTGCTAACATCACACCTTCAAATGCTACTTTAGCCCACAGTGTGCTGAATTGCCACCCTCTCATTCAAATCCCTTCTTAAAACATGATAGTCCAGCATAATTATTAATTTGCAAATCTGCTCTATATAGAAGAGGATTAAAAACAGGAACATTTGCACCTTAATTCAACCTGCTATGGCTGTTCTCTGTCTTTTAGAATAATCCTTTTGGGAAAAAAGGCTCTATCTTTGTGCTGTGCCAAGGATGTTCTCGGCAATCAGTGAATAATAGATCTCTCAGCAGTGGTATAAAGACCACTTCATGTTTTAATTAAAACTATATAAAGTAAAAATGACTCTATCTTAATTCACATTGTTGGAATGACTGTCAGTGGGATACAGAGTTCAGAGCAGAATTATTTTATATTGGAATACCTGCCTGATTCTTTTTCAAAAATGTAAAAAGTAAAGTTATGTATTCCCATAAAAAATCATAATCTCTGAGCAGTGTGCTTGTTTTACCTCATTGTATCTATGTTCTATAAAAGTTGTTAAAGCTAACGTGTGCTCTCTCATCAGTGTGTGCAATGGTTTCTAGGCATATTGATGGGCAGATTGCCCCATATATGTATAACATGAAACTTGCAGGTTTGTGAAAGAAATGCATGAATATTGAATGGAAATTCCATCATGGGGTTGAAGATTTTACAGTGTAGTTTAACATCAAATTTTGGATTACACCTCTATAGATTATTGCTTGATGTTTGAAAAAAGGAGCTTTTCACATCTGTTAATCTTTCTCCCTCAATTTTTCTTGCTTTTATACCACCATCCTTCTAGTCGAGACTGAAAACTGGATGGAATTTCCTTTGAAGCCAGTCAGAACAACTTATTCTGTTATTACAGTGATCATGAATTTGTATATTTTCCAAAGGGCTCAGCACCTCTCCTAGTTGCTACTGACCCATGGAGAGAGACCAGAAATCGAACAGGAGTCATCTGGCATGACTGTGGGGAACACTACAATGAGATCATTTCCAAGCATACTAAAGCGTGAGGAGAACTTGACATATATAGTATTCATATTTTGTACATGAACTTCTCTCAAGACTTTTATTGTTATAACTGAGGCAAAACTACAAAATAATTGGTCACAAATTGCATATCTATTATGAAATAAATGTAAGGTCATGTTTTCTATTACTGGCTCTTAGAAATTCAACTGTAGTTCAAGCAATGGATAGCAGTTATCTACAGCTGACTATCTAATGATTTTGTGTAGAATCATGTTGGTTTCACCTCAAGATTGTGATCCTTTTGTTTAGTGTGAAATATACATGTTCCCTGCACTTGTAGATCTACACAGAACTTTGATGGAAATTTTTAAGGAGAAAGATTGCATTCGTTCAAATTTTCTCTCTTCTTGGGTCTTTTTGCTTAGGCTTTGGATACATTACAAGCATAATTATACTGCTGTAGTTATACTGGAATAAACTGTAGAAAATATCCACATGGGAAGTTTATACAGATATAATTATGCTGGTAAATTTCTCCATCTAAACAAGCCCTTATGGAAAAGTCAAGTCATGCATTAGGTTTCAGATTTGTCTTTAACTTTCAGTGACACTGAAGGCTTAAAAAGAGATCCAGCTTGACTAGTTGCTCTTTTTTCTTATTAAGAGAATCAACACCCTGGATTCTGGGTACATTTTCAGTAGGTTAGAATGATGCCAAGTAGCTCTTCCCCGGAATGTGACATCATAATCAAATCATCATGATCGGCAATCTCCATAAAGGCATCAAGAAACCAGACTATCAGAAGAGTCCAAAATGTGCACTTGACGGGAAACATAAACAATATTTGTCTTCCATTCTTCCTCTATACATGGCCAAATTTGGACTCGGGTCTGTCTGACAGAACTGAATTACTGAGATGAGGGCTTTCCAGTGAAGCTGCCGTTTTCTCTGTTCTCACCAGTGTCACTCTTGCAACATATCACAAGAGCATGTGTAAAGGTATAGCTCTTACAGTGAAGCATAGGGAGGGAAGCCCCTGAGATAAGATCTAGGTCAGTGGCTTTCCACCTTTGCAGGCTACTCTGCCTTTTCAGGGAGCTGGATTTGTCTTGCATACCCCAAGTTTCACCTCACTTAAAAACTACTTGCTTACAAAATCAGACCTAAAAATACAACTGTCACAATATACTATTCCTGAAAAATTGCCGACTTACTTATTTTTACCATATAAGTATACAATAAATCAATTGGAATATAAATATTGTACTTCTATTTCAGTGTATATAGAGCGGTTTTAAACAAGTCACGTGAAATTTAGTCTGTAGCAACTTCACTAGTGCTTTTTACGTAGCCTGTTGTAAAACTCAGCAAATATCTAGATGGATTGATGTGCCCCCGGTACACCTCTGCATACCCTCAGTACTATGCATTACCCCTGGTTGACAGCTATGAACAACTTCATAGATGCCAATCTAACCCCTCGGATTTCCCCTGAAAGTGACTTGATAGCCAGTGTGGAATATTGAGTTCAGTTATAATATACTCAGATCAGGATTATGTACCTAAAAGGTTAGCAGCTGCCTCTTGCACCAAGGGGCCTTCAAGATTAGCTCTATTTATAGCATAGTGCCAGAGCCATCCTGTCCATAGGATGGTTTGGGGCAGCCACCCCGAACCCCATGGTTTGGGGAGCCCTACAGGGCCCAGGGTGGACTGGGGTATTACCAAAGAGCCTGGCATGTGCAAACAGCTCAAGTCATGTTGCTTGGGAGAGGAGGCTTGGGGAAAGAGGTGCAATGGGGAGCAGAGGTGGAGCCTTGGGCAGAGCTTGGAGGCAGGGGGTGTCCTAGGTTCTGCGTAGTGTGCAGTAGTGCAGCTTTCATGTAACAAACATAACAGTGCTCATTCCACTGATTCAGACCAACACAGTCTCATGGCCTGTCCAAGATGACAGGTCTTTCTCACTACTATTGCTATTTGGGAACTATTTGAGGAGGGATCTAGCTAGAATCCTGATACAGAGAGCAGCCCTAAAAGGCAGGCAAATGCCACAAGCGCCTGAAGCTAAAAAGATTGAGTTCTTCAAAGAATGGGGAAGCATTATATCAGTCTGATGTGCTAAACATTAAGCTGCATGGCTCTTCTTGATTAGCTGTTAGAAAGCTCATTCGCGTTCTCCCAGGGCCTTATGAGAGGCTGACGTAGAGCTGAGTATCTTTGGCATATTGATGACATACTTCATATTTTCTCACTGCTTTCTGCAATAGCTTTACAAAGATTGCAGAAGCAGCCAGTGGTGACTAAGCCCTGTGGCAGTTGCTAAAGGAGTAAAAGCACTTGCATTCAATTACAAATGCACTGAGACCTGATTCAAACATCAGTTTCTTAGTAAGAGGGCAATCTATAATTAAAGCCATTGGAAAGCCACAAAAAGTAATTTAGCAGTCAGCTATTGATGGGTACAGCTGAACCCTCTTGCCTGCTGTCCAACAGCCAAGTCAGATGCCTGCGGCTCACAGGATGTTCTACAAGAATCCCCTTAGTTTGCTCACCACCACAGCACGTGTGAACAACAGTGCCAGTGTGATAGTCATTGCCTAATGCAAAGCAAACATGACTTTACTGTTCAGGATTGAACACGTGAAGGGGATATTAAACTCCAGATGTTGATGTTACAAACAGGCTAAGCAATGGAGGAGATACTCAATGAAAACATATCCCATATTTAAGCAGTTGAAGTCAAAACTGCAAAACGCATGAAAAAGCTGAATTAAAAAAATGTAATCTGATGCAAACATCCTGCTGCCAGGGATGTGTGCTTAGTGCCAGAAGATTCAACCAATTAACTCTGCATAGAACTTTTGTGTGAAGTCAGAATTTGTCATTGCCAATTATCTACTCACCAATACCACAAGAAATAAATAGTTAAGGGATTGGTGGGGAGAGGAACAGCCATAGTGCTATGCTATTTGCAAATTAGAGCTCCACCCGAGGGTTATCCTGGAGAGGAAAAATATAGAAGTGGCCTCACTCTCCTGTGCTAATCCACTACCTTCACTTCATTTTTCAACGGGAACATGGTACACCTACTGCGTCAGTCAAACAACCTCAATGTTGGTTTGTCTTTCCTTCCTCTCCCACCTGCTTGCCTTGTGTTACCTTTCTTGAGGTCCTGTCTTGTTTCATTTGAATAGATTGTATGTTGTAGGTCCTGTACTGAAAGGGTCTTTCAAAGTGTGTCATGTTTGTTGGACTCTGTGACAGCCACAAAAAGTACCATAGCTAACCAGAAGAATGTGCCACATCTTATTCAATAAACCTGGCCTGTGTGTCAGAGATCCTTGCCTTTGTGAATTCCAGACTAGACTATTACAGTTTACTAGCAGTAGCACACCTAACACTTCATTTTTTTTAAAAAAGCTTCAATTAGTGCAGAATGTAGCATCCTGCCCCTTCTGTTACACTAGCTGCCGAGAGCACGTCACCATTGTGCTTTTCTCTTCATAGTGGCTTCCCACAGAACATTATAGTCAAATTGGAGATCTCTTAATTGTTAGGGCTCTCAATGGACTTGGTCCTGCATTTAATAGATCCCAAGGCCGGGAGGGACCAGTATAATCAACAAGTCTGACCTCTTGTGTGACACAGGCCAGAGAATGGTCCAAAAATAATTCTGCAAGCAGAGCTTTTTAGAAAAACATCCAGTTTTGATTTAATAATTGTAGTGATGAAGAATCCACCACAGCTCTTAGGAAACTGTTAATTATGCTCACTGTTCAGAATTTGTCTTCTTGTGAAACTGTTTGTTTAGGTTCAATATCCAATTATTAGTTTGTGATATCTAGGTAAAAAAGAGAGGCGTGAGTTGGGCATTGCATTTCCTTGGTAGGAGGGGAAGGATACCAGGCACGTAGCTGATGCTCTCTTAAGTGGGTACAGAAGAGAAGGATGGGAGTCCCAAGATGGCTTGTGAATTGCCAAGTAATCATTGGCCTTGGATTTGCTTACAGCAGATCTTGATGGGGTGCTGACAATTGTTAGCCCTTTTCTCTCCATTCAGCATAATTTGTAGCGCCTAGTCCTTGGTAGGAGGGGAAGGATACCAGGCACGTAGCTGATGCTCTCTTAAGTGGGTACAGAAGAGAAGGATGGGAGTCCCAAGATGGCTTGTGAATTGCCAAGTAATCATTGGCCTTGGATTTGCTTACAGCAGATCTTGATGGGGTGCTGACAATTGTTAGCCCTTTTCTCTCCATTCAGCATAATTTGTAGCGCCTAGCATTCTGTTTGTAATGATGGTTGGCATTCCTGTGCCTGTCAGAAAATGTTGCTGTTTGGCCACCATGTGTTGCCACTGACATTCACGGAGTCCTTGCCTATCTCATCGGGTATGTCTACACTATAGTGTTATTTCGAAATAGCTTATTTCGAAATAACTCGTCTCCACACAAAATTCATTTCGAAATAGCATTTTGCTAGTTCGAAATAGCGCATCCCACTGTGTGGACTCTGAATCTCAATTAAGGCTGGCTGGAACCAGTTCCGGCAGGGCATCAGGTCAGGACTTATTGTGTGGGGCTGCTGCCTGAGGCTATCTGAGGTCTGTGCTTAAAGGGACCCCCGCGGATAGCCAGTTCTCAGGTTTCCCTGCTTGCTTGCCTACCTCAATGAGGGACAGCAAAGCATTTTGTCTCTGCATGCTCTGGTTGCCCTCACTTGGGACACCATAGCACTCGGCAACAGGGAGCCAGAGCTGCCCCTGTTGGTGCTTCTCTTGGATGCGTTGCTGCGAGCCTGGCTGCGCTTTCTGCAGGCTGCCATCCAGGAGGTCCATCGGGAGGGGGGGTCGGGTCAGTATCCAGGAGGCCCTGCGGGAGAGCTTCTACCCTGAGGAGCACTAAGAGTCTCCCTGCTCTGCCCCACTGGGGGTTTGTGCCTCATTCCTCCCTCAGGTCCTTCTACTTACCCCTTCCTAACGCCAAATAAAATACATGTACTTTCATGAACACACACTCTCTTTATTTAACAAAACTGGG